ACACACATTCATACAGCACTCTACTACACACATTCATACAGCACTCTACTACACACACAAATTCATAAAGCAATGTACTACACAAATTCATACATCACTCTACTACACACACCTTCATACATCACTCTACTACACACACATTCATACAGCACGCTACTACACACACATTCATACAGCACTCTACTAAACACATTCATGCAGCACTCTACTACACATACATTAATATATCACTCTACTACACAGACATATTCATAGATTACTCTTCTACACACACATTCATACATCACTCTACTATACACATTCATACAGTACTCTACTACACACATTCTCACAGCACTCTACTACACACACATTCATACCTCGCTCTACTACACACAAACATTCATACAGCATTCTACTACACACAAACTGATACAGCACTCTACTACACACTTATTCATAAAGCACTCTACTACAAACAGCACTCTACTACACACACATTCATACAGCACTCTACTACACACACATTCAAGCAGCAATCTACTACACATACTATTCAATAAGTATTCTACTACACACATTCATAGAGCACTTTACTACACACATTCATACAGTACTCTACTACAGTAGAGAGGAGAGGGATGCACTCACCACTCTTAGCAAGGACAAAAACATCATCATTCTCCCAGCAGACAAAGGAAGGTGCACAGTGATTTTGAACCAGAAAGACTATCATGAGAAAGTTATGACACTCCTTAGTGACTTAACCACTTATGAACCTCTGAAAAGAGATCCAGGAAGTGGTTACAAGAAGAAGTTAATAGATTGCCTGAAAATTTGGAGCAGGACAAGGCTATTGACCGTATTCTGTACCACAGACTGTACCCAGGGGAGGCCACACCTAGTCTGTATGGTTTACCTAAAATCCACAAACAAGGTGTACCTTTAAGACCTATTGTTAGCATGATTAACTCTGTCACTTACAATGTTTCCAAATATCTGGCGTTTGTACTCATCCCTTTAGTTGGCAGCTCAGAACACCACATACATAACACCATGGACTTTGTGGATAAAGTGAGGGATGTCATCATGGAGACTGATGAAACAATGGTCTCTTTTGATGTCACATCACTCTTTACGTGCATTCCTGTTGATGATGCAGTAGAGGTGGTCAGTTTAAGATTAAAATCAGACACCACTCTGAGCAGCAGGACCACGCTTTCCACAGAACAACTGTGTCAACTCTTGAAACTGTGCCTGCAGTCAACCTACTTCACATATGGGGAGCAATATTATAGGCAGAAACATGGGTGTGCTATGGGGTCTCCAGTTTCTCCTATTGTTGCCAACCTGTACATGGAGGAGGTAGAAAAGAGAGCCTTGACGTCCTTTTCAGGGACACTACCAAGTCATTGGTTCAGGTATGTTGACGACACCTGGGTTAAAATTAAATCTCAGGAAGTCCAACATTTTACTGACCACATCAACTCTGTGGATAAATACATCAAGTTCACACGAGAAGATGTAAAAAATGGCAAGTTGGCTTTCTTGGACTGTGAGGTCTCAGTCTCGGATAGAGGACATTTGCAAACCGAGGTGTACCGCAAACCCACCCACAAAGACCAGTATTTGCAGTTTGACTCCCATCACCCTTTGGAGCACAAGTTAGGAGTCATCAGGACTCTGTATCACAGAGCAGACAGCGTCCCCACTAGCTCGGGAGCCAGGCAGAAGGAGAAATCCTACACAAAACAGGCTCTAGAGCAATGTGGATATCCTAACTGGGCCTTCCTGAAAGCAGAGAAGAAACCCAAACGGGACTCCAGTCAGCCAACAGGTGAAAAGGAGGAACCCAGACCCAGACCAGTGGTCATTCCGTATGTTGAGGGGGTATCAGAGAAACTGAGACGTTTATTTTCTAAACATAACGTCCCAGTGGCTTTTAAACCCCAAAATACATTACGGCAAAGACTGATTCATCCCAAAGATCCAGTCCCCCGGCACAAACAGAGTAATGTTGTGTATGCTGTTCAGTGTCAGGAGGGCTGTGATCAGTCTTACATCGGGGAAACAAAACAGCCACTGGCCAAAAGGATGGCCCAGCACAGAAGATCAACATCATCAGGCCAGGATTCTGCGGTCTACACTCATCTCCAGGCCAGCGGTCACTCTTTCA